ATAAGCTTTATCAAAGAGGAAAGTCTTAAGTCTAGTCTTAAATGTGGAGACGGTGTCTGCCTCCCGGACCGTAACAGGAAGATGATTCCACAGGAGAGGAGCCTGATAGCTGAAGGCTCTAGCTCCTGATCTACTTTTGGAGACTTTAGGGACCACGAGTAACCCTGCATTCTCAGAGCGCAGTGTTCTGGTGGGATAATATGGCACTATGAGCTCACTAAGATATGATGGAGCTTGATCATTTAGAGCTTTATAAGTTAACAGTAGGATTTTAAATTCTATTCTGGATTTTACAGGGAGCCAGTGCAGAGAAGCTAAAACAGGAGAAATATCATCTCGTTTCTTAGTTCCTGTTAGTACACGTGCTGCTGCATTCTGAATTAGCTGGAGAGTTTTTAAGGACTTACTAGAGCTACCTGATAATAGAGAGTTACAGTAATCCAGCCTTAGGCTCTCTTTTATTTATTTTTTGTCTTATTTTTTTTTCTCAACAACTTTCTGATCAGAATAATGCCTAAGTACAAGGTCACGTTTGCTTGTTTGCATCAGTTACTGCCTATTGTTAAAAGGCAGTTTGGGACTTGTTATGCATTGAAGTGATTGTTCACCCGTGTGAGGGCTTCTATACATTGTTTGAATCTGTGCAGTTAGCTACTTGCAGATCTTACCCATAAATATTTCAGAGCTGTGTCCTGATTTTCATTTATTATTTTGCTGTTTCCTGTTTTTTACAGCTCAATATATATATATATTTAAAAAAAAAAAACGTAAAATCAGAACAAATGTTTTTTGCAAGTAATTGATGTTTACATAAACACTGAATCAGAAAATGAATAAAGTTTAACATGTCTCCACTTCAGTCCCAGAGTTCAAGATGCCTAACCTGAAAATTCAAAAGAACCACATTTGAGACTTTTGGGATCATATCCTGTAATTTATCCCTTGAAGCAATTTGTAAATGTCAGATCACATTTGTGAATGGGAAGTGTTTTCCAAAACTAAGGCATGTATAGTCCACCAATCATTTATTGATAAGCATTAAGATGCATTAAAGCGAAAGACTAAAAGATTGTCTTAAGTCCATGTTAATGTGGGATACATAAGAAAGGTAAAAACGGGTTCCAATAGTCCATTTCTATAGCCCAGCTATTTCCTTCAGAGTGATGTACAGTTCTGAGGCTGTCTTCCAGTCTTGTGGCTGTTATAGTCCGTTTCGTTCCACAGCCTGTTGTAGGTATTCCTCAATGTCTGGATCACCACATAAATCAATCACTTGTCTTGCCTCAGAAAACACATCCAGTTCCCTGTCTTCAACAACAAATCCACAGTCCCTTGAACCAAATCTGCAAAATTAGATGATACAATGATATAAAGGACAAGGTTTGAAATGGTCATTGTTAGATTTGTTTGCTTGTTGATATACAGAAATTTATAAACAATGGTAGAGACAGATAGCTTCTAAATTCAAGAATGGATTATACCAACATGTACAATTGTCCAAATATATCCCAGTTTAGGCAATACCATAACACCTTGCATTTTTTGTAATGTATATGATAATTACTACCTGTGAGGCAAGAGATACAGTTCATTCGGAATCCCTCCTGGACATGATGCAAGTCTGCTTGGTCGAATCCGGTGCTTGTTCCATAGGTCCATACATTCATCCAGGTCTTGCTGCAGAACATTACTGAAGCTAAATCTCAGTAAGCACTGGTGTTCATGGCTGCCATTGAAGAGTCCAGAGTCTCTCAGGTCTCCAAACAAGTCCATCCAAAACTGAGACCTGGGGATACATTAGATGCAAAGTGGCTTATTTCACACGAGAGGAAAAAATTAATAACCACAAGTCATGTTTAGAATGCACTGGTGGATACATCTTAACAAAAGCATTGCAGAGAAATCAGAATGTAAACCAATATGATTATCACAATAGTAATCAACTGCTGATGTGATTCAATAACTTTGGGAAAGAATAATTCCTATGGATTCCTATGTTCATTATTATCACTTAGTGTTGAAGTGGTCTGCTTTAGAGTTAAACAGTTGAAGAACACTAATAATAATCACAATGACAAACAAGGAAGGGGATTTTAATAATCAGCACTGATCAGTTTAACAGAGACAGAGGTGATCACTATACAGCGTCCACTGTACTTTTAATCCAAACAGATGTACCAACCTCCCTCTTCTGAAAAAAGACCACCATGACTCGATGCGCTGATTCCCTGTTGATGAGCCATAACTGTGGCTAGACGAGCCGGCATTGTAGTCCGTATGCACATGGCGGAGGGTACATTGTATTGCTGCCATAGTCCCATTTTCTGTTCCGAGGTCAGTTCTTAATCTCATTGGAACCACACCAACATTCTTGGCACATTTAATATAATTGTGAGCGATGACAGATGGATTATTGTTTGTTGGTCCACAAACAAGCCACATTATTTTTCTTGAGAAGCCATCTATACATCCTGAGAGGCTAAATGGTTTCAGTTTATCATATCCGTCTACATGCCATATGTAGTTTGGACCCATGGAGTGATACGTACGTCTTGTAAACCTCCTGCGTGTTCTCAAAGCCGTCCCTCGTGGATTCAGTTGTTTCAATAATCTCATTACTACATCACGTTTAACGTGAAGCCTGTGTTTTTGTTGGAGAACTTGCCACATAGTCCGATAACCGAAGAGTTGCCCTGGTCCTTCCAGCTCAGTCAGAATTGCACGCCTCACCTCAGGGAGTGGGGAATAGTTGAGTCTTCTATACAGCCCTGCTTCTTTTAAACGTGTCTTCAGCGTACGCAGACTCATGTTTATGTTGTGAATTGTCGACAGCATATCCAGTATCACATCATATCCATGTCCTGCATCAAAATATCCTTTAACAGGTTCGTTCGAGATGAGCCAGTTCTGCGCAGATTCGATCACCGGCGATCGGCGCACAATGCATGCCGGTTAGTTTTGTGTCCGACTTCATCCCGACTTGCTCTGACGTATTACAAAAGTGGACGGCGATAAAGCCATGAGAGCGAGGCGGCTGCAGTTTTTAGAGCGAGGCGCTGCAGTTGCTCTCCACCGACTGCACCGCCTGGCTCTCACCTGATCTAACAGCTGATTGGTTCAGATGTCAACTCAACAAGATGACGTTTTAGATAAACTACTCATTTGTGTTGTATTTTAGAGATTAAGATTGTATTTGTCTGACCTGAAGGTTTATTCTGTGAACAGAAAACATGTTGTGTGACTGATGGTGAAAACAAACTGATATATGGGTCTGATCACTTTTTCAGTGAACTGACATCATTCCAGACAGGATGTAAGTGTGTCTGTGACTTCCTGTACGGACTGAAGGCTGCTGGAAACTGTCGGGAAACTGTCCGACTTCACCGCAGCTTTTTGTCACCGCCCCCCGCTGCGGCCGCCTGCTCTCGTCTACTTTTCAGGTGAGGCGCAGTTCATCTCGAACGAGCCTATAGCAGCGCGTACGTTGTCACTGGCGGCGCTCATATTTTGAAAACATGTAAACCATGTCCTTCCGGTTCAAAGGACGGACCAGTCCAATCAGCGACGATTCATGTCGCCCGAGGGTACCTACCTTTTCCAGTTTGGTTAATGTCGTTGTCGTTTCTGTTTTGTTGTTGTGTTTTCTGATTTGTTGTTGTGTTTTCTGTTTTGTTGTTGTGTTTAGTAATTTGTCGTTTTGTTTTCTGTTTTGTTGTTGTGTTATCTGTTTTGTTGTTGTGTTTAGTAATTTGTTGTTGTGTTTTCTGTTTTGTTGTCGTGTTTAATAATTTATTGTTGTGTTTTGTTGTTGTGTTTAGTAATTTGTCATTTTGTTTTCTGTTTTGTTGTTGTGTTATCTGTTTAGTTGTTGTGTTTTCTGTTTTGTTGTTGTGTTTAGTAATTTGTCGTTTTGTTTTCTGTTTTGTTGTTGTGTTATCTGTTTTGTTGTTGTGTTTAGTAATTTGTTGTTGTGTTTTCTGTTTTGTTGTCGTGTTTAATAATTTATTGTTGTGTTTTGTTGTTGTGTTTAGTAATTTGTCATTTTGTTTTCTGTTTTGTTGTTGTGTTATCTGTTTAGTTGTTGTGTTTTCTGTTTTGTTGTTGTGTTTAGTAATTTGTCGTTTTGTTTTCTGTTTTGTTGTTGTGTTATCTGTTTTGTTGTTGTGTTTAGTAATTTGTCGTTGTGTTTTCTGTTTTGTTGTTGTGTTTAATAATTTATTGTTGTGTTTTGTTGTTGTGTTTAGTAATTTGTCATTTTGTTTTCTGTTTTGTTGTTGTGTTTTCTGTTTTGTTGTTGTGTTTAGTAATTTGTCGTTTTGTTTTCTGTTTTGTTGTTGTGTTTAGTCATTTGTTGTTGTGTTTAGTCATTTGCTGTTGTGTTTTTTGATTTATTGTTGTGATTTGCACTTCAGGGCCACCGTAAAATAGAGACAAATACAGACAAATAGAGACTAATAGAGACAAATAGAGACTAATGGCATTAAAATTCCACATTTTTAACATCTGGCTTTATGACTGAAATAATTATTAGGACAGTTTCAGATTATATAACTACTGCAACCCTGCCTCCTGGAAATAGTGCTTATATTTACAAGAATAAATAGGTCTGGAGAAAATGGAGTGCAGAGTAGGTTGTATTTACTAGTGACATAGTGAGGAAGGGTTAATCAACACATCCAACAAGTCACAAAATGTTGCATTAATGTTCAGTGGAGAAAATAATTAGAGGTCAGTATTGATGTCTTTAAACTCATTTCTTAAACTAGTGCAAAAGTAGTGGTATTTGTTTTGTGATCTACTTTTTATTAACACATTTTATTCAGTACAGGTGTGTTATGGGTTCAGAGAAGATAACAAATGGTGTGAACATTCCCTCTCGCACCCTCAACACACACACCCGCCCACATAATGCCTCTGTGAACACCCCTGCACCCTGCAGTCTCTATTCAAATAACATCTCACACTTTACCTCTGGAGCACTGGTTCTGGAGGTCATTAGGTTGGAAAGCTGCGATGCTGCGTCTTTCCAAAGGCTCAGAGTGGAGGACTTTGTGTTGTTGACCCTCGCTGTGGATAGCTCAAGCATCAGGACATGACTAAAACGAGTTGACCACTGCTGAGTGAGTGAGGAGGGAGCGATCATTGTCTTTGTTGCAGTTGAACCAGCAGCCAAATTTTCCTCTGGTTTTCAAACACGTTCAGTTCAGAGTCATCCTTAGCTTAGAGAACAGTTGGGTCTGTAGGGAGTCAGTGACCTGTCACGTACATTCATTCATCTTTTCACATTCCCAAACCATGTGTGCGTCCCAAAGTGTTCAGGCTGGCATACAGAGCAGTTAGGATTAGGAATGGCTGTGGTGATGTATTTCCTCTGAGGAGTCCAATATGTCTTGAGGTATATGTTGTACTGGACCAACTGGTGAGCTGTTTATGTTTTTGTTTAATATCTGAAAATATTGCTCCAAACTGTTCTCCAATCAGTTGTATTTACTTTAGAGGTCAAATCTTCTTCCCATTTTCTGACTGTTGGGAGTTTTCCTACAAGAGCATCTGTTAGATCGGCATAAATCTTAGACACCAGTCCTCTGGAGGGGGAATCAGAGAGCCAATCAATGACTGGGCGTGCCTCCAGAGTCCAGACCCTTTCCCTTGAGACAACCAGTCTATTTGAAGAACAATAACTCATCTAACACTTGACCAGATACATTAAAACAGAATTGCTGTTAACTGTGCCAGTATTAGTCACATCATTCACTGACTGTAAAATAAGAAACCAGAAACTCAGAACAATAAAGTACCAGAGAGGAAGAAAACATTTATTCATCTTTATTTATCTCTGATGAGAAATTAATTTCGTTATTACAGACACAAATCAGCTCTAAATACAAACATGCAGTCAGAAGTTTGGTGCCACGCTGAAGGTCACCTGGGTGGTGCTGAGGAGTTGGCTCGGGTGGTATCAGAATATACAAGGGAATTAAAAAGATCCTAACGTCAAAAATACAGAAGCTACTCCGTCTACTAACGTCATCCTGACCAACTCATCCTCGCTGCGACCTCGTCACATGTCCACGTTTGGTCATGGACTTTCCACGTCCACATATGACGTCCAAGGTACCCTGGGTGTGTTGGTTGTTGACGTTCTGGGACGCCATGTCAACTTCAGCCTGTTACATGTATTGTCTGTTTTCAAAATACACTTCTGTTTTCACAGGAAATGTACAGTTTGATACAGTCTCTTTCAAAATAAAAGCACTACCTCGGTTCAACACCGCCAACTGATGTTTTTTTTCCTTCCACATTTAGCCAACACACACACACATGGTTGGGTATAGAAAAAACAAAACAACAGTAAAGACCAGTTTTAACACTGAGATGATGTCAGACAGAGGAGATGTCTAACCAAACAGGGTGTGAAGGGATCGGTACAGGTTAGTGTGTTTGTCGATTAACATTTCAGCTGATGACATCATTGCCGTGTTGTCGATAGTGCAGGCGTACTGCTCCTTCAGGTAATCCTCATCAAGTGTTGTTTCGTCAGATGTTTTACCCAGACAGGCAGCGAGGTGCACGGTGGCTTTATATTTGGAGAAATAGAGCACCAGTGACAGGGCCAAAATGATGTCAGAGAATGGGACCTCTTCATCACTGTCTCCTGGGACGATGAACGGGATGACGATACGGTTTAGCCCCGGTCGACCATACTTAACTTGGAGATGCTCGAAGTCTTCCCATGCATCGTCCTCTTCTTTGGTTAGAGGACTAACGAGGATGTTTGGGACCATCCGTCCTTTAGCCGTCTTCATTGAGTTCCAGCGGTTGGGCAGGTTGGTGGGCTGATGGTCTTCATCAGGAATCTGACAGTCGTCTTCTTCAGTACAGCAGAACGCCCTGTGCTTAAGCTCAATGATTCCTTTAGCAACACCGTACGCTACACCAGCATTAATCGCGCAGTTCCAGGGAGAATACACGACCAAGTCTTCGATGGTGGACAGAGGAAGCAAAGTGTTGGCTGGGATCATGGTCTGCTCGATCGATCCATGTGCCACAAAGGTGATGTGGATGTTCTCACAGACAATCTTCTCTTTTTCCACATCGAGCGCTTGTTTCAGGAAATTAAACATGTTGACGACTTTGAGGAAGGTCTGAAAGCGAGACTCAAAGGACTCAGACTCTGATGACTCAGAGTCTGACTCTGAACTGTCTTTCAGCCATGCCACATCTTGATGTTTACAGATTTCTATTGCGAACTGTCTCAGTGTCTTCTGCTCCTCAAAGCTCCTGGTGCTGGTTTCAATGCAGCGCTTCACCTCTGCCGACATCTTGAGTGTTTGTCTGTGTGGAGAGTTAGAAAAAAGAGGAATCTTAGTCATATTTGGTCAACAAATTCCAAATAATGTCTTACCAGATCAGCAGTGGATGAAGTACCTGAAAGCCATACCTGAGTAAAAGTACAGATATCTGATCAGGAAATGACTCTGGTTAAAGTCAGAGTCACCTGTTAGAATATTTCTGCAGTAAAAGTCTTAAAGTATCTGATATCTAAAGTCTCTGATAATATCAAATATAATGAGGTATTAAAAGTAAAGAACAAGTAAATGCTGGTAATAAAAAAAAAGCAAACGGTCAGAATGATCAGGATGGTGACGTTTATTTCTTCTTAATATCAACACCCACACCAGAAGTGGAGTGAACATTCCACCAGAAGAAAAACAATGAACTTCAAGGTTTAAATGTTTTCCAAAACAAATTTCATCTCTTTTTAGTGTTCTCTGCATCTCTGGCGGCTGCTTCAAAATCTGCTGTTCCTCTGCGAACCGGTGATGTCCGTGGTCAAGCTATTTCAGCTTGTATTTCTAGTCTCCTCCTCTGGGTATCCAGGAGGCGTGGTCTCGACTGGTTTAAATCAATCAGACAACATCCTCCCAACTAAGTTGTAATCTGGGAGTTCCACAAGGCAGCATCTTGGGCCCTCTACTTTTTCTCCTTTACATAAATGACCTTCCTAACGTGTGCAAATATTCTAATTGTTTTCTATATGCCGATGACACTGTAATTTTTCTCTCTGACTCTGACAACTTAAATTCAACACTATCATCTGATCTGAAGCACGAACATGACTGGCTGAAACATAATCATTTAACTTTCAGTGTCAAGAAAACTAAATGTATCCCTCAACCAGAAACTGTACGTCTATAACAAGATCAGACCATATCTCCCCTCTGCTGTTTCAGACACAAACCGACATGCAATTATCCTCTCGACAATCAAAGCATTAAGTTTCTTTTAACATAAAGTAATAACCCTATTTTACAACTGAAAAAAACACCTTAGTGAACCCACCCCCTTTTCTGTCCGGATAAAAACATGTACGCTCTCTCTCTTGTTCTCTCGCATCTCGCTCTCCTTTTTTCTTTTTTTGACTCTTCTCTCTCTTTTTTTTTAATTGTCTTCCTTGTTGTTTCTTCTTTTTCGTATCTTAGCCTCTGTTGTTTTTACGTTTTAGTTACACTTTTATACTCTGACGATCAAAGTTATTTTAAACTTTTAAGTTTTGCTTATCCAGTTATCTCCAGTGTTTTCAACATTTTTATGCGCGTTAATAATAACTTTGATAACAATATCAAACATCCAACAATATTGTTTTCACCATTATTATAAGCGAGTAATTATAACAAAGTAGACAAGTGCCCTTTTCGACCTGCCTCTTCAACCAAAGCTTCATCAGACCCAGCGGCTGCCAGCCACTTGCCCCAGTGGTTCTTGTGCCAAACCCAAAGGCTTTCTGCAGCGTAAGGAAACTGACGTTGGGGGCACCCACAGGACGTCACAGGCTCAACCGCTCCCTCCACCACAGTGCGCCAGCTGATTTCATTCTGCTGGAAAGTCTGGGAGTTGCAAAGTGACAGTTCGGGGCCCCAGGAGAAACGTCTGCATGATTCGCTGCTAAGAAAGGAGGCATCGAACTCCCCTCACATGTGACCTGCTGGGCAGTGGTAAGAGCTGATGTCGAATCTGAGATTTAATTATCTTAATCTTAATTTAGGATTCCTTAGATAAATATTTTGTGCATCCCTGCGCTCCCAGTTTATCTTAACATACTCTCTCACTATCGCCAAATTAAATAACTCACACAAGTGTTACTTCTTGTTTAATCCATTTATACTTACTGTTGATTTTGCGTTATTTCATATTATCCTCATTCATTTAGTTAGGGGATTAGGGTTATTCATTTAGTCGTTGTCTGTGTATATTTCTTTTGAGCAGGAACTAAGATCACTGTGTGGAGAATTCGTAACCCAGATATTGAGATTGATTCATTATTGATAAGCATGCTGACAAATTAATAATTGGTTTACAGAGTTATTAATTTGATTAGTTGCTTCCCTCATTAGGAGGGTGGTGTCCCAAACTTTATTACAAGTGCAAACATTCTCAAAAAGGTATTTCCACCACAAAAAAAACAATCTGATTTAAGGACAGACCTGCAACCATTGATTGAAATCCCAAATCCTATTTTACTCCACTTCAGTCCTCTGCTCTATGTCTGCAGCTGCCTGAGTGTCGTTGTTTTGCCTCTGCTGATTGTTTCTGTTTTTATTTTGTATTGTGATGTGTTTTTGTTGCTGAACAGGAACCTGCTGAAAACCAGTTTTTGACTGAGTCAGGACAGTTTGAACTGTAACACACAATGTTACTCTTAATTCATTTCCTGTTTAAATAAACAAATAAATAAAAATAAAATCTAGTGCACTCTGTTATGATGGGCCCCACTGCCTGCACTGTTTACGCCCCTGTACCAGGTACATCACACTCTGTAGCTCCTCTTAAAAAGAAGTTAAAAAAGCAAAGAAAGTTCGCTCCTTGGTATAACTCTCAAACCCATAAGTTAAAACAAATATCGCGAAAATTTGAAAGGAATTGGCGATTGACCAAATCTCGTTTAATCTGGACAGACAGTCTCAAAACTTATAAGAGGGGCCTCCGCAATGCCAGAGCAAACTATTACTCAGCATTAATAGAAGAAAACAAGAACAACCCCAGGTTTCTTTTCAGCACTGTAGCCAGGCTGACTGAGAGTCAAAGCTCTATTGAGCCTTGTATTCCTTTAGCCCTTAGCAGTAATGATTTTATGAGCTTTTTTAATGACAAAATTCTAACTATTAG